AAAAAAAAAAAGTCCCCAAGAACATAATATTTATGCTAATCTATATGCTAGACCTATTTGTGATCAACCATGTAATGTTCTGTAATGTAGGTGTGTACCTAAGATTATAAAACCTGAACCTTTAGCCTTAGTGATGATATCCAACCTACCTTGTTTTCAGTTTCTGCCACTTGTAAAATAAGGGAGCTGGACTAGTGCAGGGATGGAACAACATTGCATCTACCAATCAGTTGTTAGTGGCTGCCACTCAGACCCAGGAAAAAGAATGCAAATATAGATTGTTGTTGTTTAGTGCCAACGAGTTGGTTCCAACCCATAGCAACCCTGTGTAGGGTTTCCAAGGAGCGAATGGTGAGCTAGAACTGCCGACCTGGAGGTTCAAACTGATTTTGCAATCCAGTGCATTAACCTTCAGTGCCACATTAGCAATGTTTTTGTTTTGGGAAAGGGGGTGTGATGTATCGATAACCATTAGAAGATTTGATGATCCTGTAGATTCATTCTAGCTCTTAACTGCTTGGAATCTAGGTTTTCCTCTTTTTTTTTGTTTTTTTGTTTTTTTAAGAATTGATTTGTGCTGAGTTCCCTATAGATAGCCTTCCTTTTTTTTTTTTTTTTTTTTTAATCAGTTATCTTTCAGGAGTTCTGTCACAAGTTTACGATAAGGCACCAAGAGTTAATGAAAGCCTAAAGTTCACCACAATCAATCACACTATATGACTTGGATAAATCTTTCTAATGGATCTCAGTGAAATGAAGGAACTAAGGGGATGATGACAGCTAAGTCTTCTTCCAACCACTGATTTCCATAATTCTCTTATTCTGTAGTCATAATGCCTTGAAATATGTGTCTTAGAGTAGATACAGAGGAAAGGCTATAATTGCCTTCATTTATATCTCTTCCTCTTCTTCCTTCTCCTCTTTCTTTTTGGTGGTAGGTAAAGTAGTGGGTTTCCACTAGTCCTCAAATAACAAATCATACACCTATCACCTCCCTATACCACCCATTCCAAAGACCAAGTTGGCCTGCAGCACTTGGGTAAATCAAAGGGACCACATAAAGCAGAAGCAAGGGAAATTGGCAGGGAATTCATTTGACCAGTCAAGGCTATATTTTGGGAAAAGAGACCATTTGAAGGGTGAAGAGGGAAGGATCATGGGCATGCTCCAAAGATAAAGAGAGTAACTGGATTCAAAGTCAGCAGAAGGTAGGAGAGAAGTGTGGGTGAAAGACCTGTGGAGCAGAAAGCAGGGCTCAGATCTGGGTCATGGGATATTGGGGTTCTGATCCTACTTTAATACTACTAAGTCCCTGGGTCTCAGTTTTCTTATGTATTAAAATTAGAGGGAAAAGAGAGGAAGTTAATTCCTAAGAGTCTTTCCAGCTTTAATAATCTGTGAGTCCAATTCCAAGTTCTCTTTCCAGAGTTTCCTACATTGTCTGTATGTATCCTCAATGTGCAAGGTGATGAGGGCAGAGAGTTTGTGGAAAACAGAATCTCCTGAGGGTGATTTTCCTTCCTGAATAGAATACTTCAAAGCATAGAAGGCCAGAAAAGACCTAGGCTGACCCTGACCAGAATACAGACGCTATAACAGGACATCCTTGAATACACACATCCTGCTTGTCCTATAGGAATTTAAATTTCATGGGGATGGTGGGTACATGGGTAAATATTTGCTATATAAATCTTGACGTGTTCTGTATTCATTTTTCTGTAATCATTGAAAAATTACTTTTCTAGTTATTATTGCTGTTAAGTGCTGTCCAGTTGATTCCAGCTCATAGCGACCTTGTATAGAGTTTCTGAGGAGTTTCTGGTGGGTTTGAACCATTGGCCTCACTTGCAGTTAACAGTCCAGTGCTTATCCTACAGGGCTCCATTTTTTCTAGAGAAAATAAAATAAACTCCACAGGAACAGAGCTTATTTTCTAGAATCCCAGGATTTCTAAAGTCAAAGAATTGAAAGTGACCAATCTCTCATCTCAATCATGCTACCAAAAGATGGCTCCCATACCTGCTTCCAGTACTGCCCAGCAAGATAATTTACATAACAAATGACTGAGTTAAAGAAGTCTTTCACGCAGCCTCGCCTTCTGCCACACACCATGGCAGATATTGGTCTGAATCCAGCTTGGCATCCTGAACTTGAAATCCTAATCTTAGCTTCTTCTCAGGGAATGTGGTGGGTGGGGATATTGCAGGTTTTAAAGTCAAGGAATTCTGGATTCAAGTCTCACCTTACTGCTTACTACCTGTGTGGCTTTGTACGAAGCCCTCTGCCCCCAAAGCTCCATTGTCATCAAGTCCAACTTATAGTGACTTTATAAGACAGACAAGAATGGCTCCATAGGGTTTCCTAGGTTGTAATCATTACAGGAGTCCTGGTGTGGCACCGTAGGATAAGCACTTGACTGCAACATCAGTTTGGACCACAAGGTCGGTGATTCAAACACCAAAAACTCTATATGGAGTCACTATGAGTCAGAACTGACTTGACTGCATTTAATAACAACCACATAAGGTCTCTATGGAGTCCTGGTGTGGTGCTACAGGATAATGTACTGGACCACAAAGTCAGTTTGAGCTGCAAGGTTGGTGGTTCAAACCCACCAGCTGCTCCTTGGAAACTCTATACAGGGTCGCTATGGGTCAGAACTGACTCGACAGCACTTATCAACAGCAGTCATTATAGGAACAGCTCACCAGTTCTTTCCTCCCACAGAGCAACTGGATGGATTCAAAGCATCAGTCTTCATAGTTCACATCTGAGTGCTTAGCCATGGTATCACTAGGGCATCTTTGAACCATTCATCTGAAAGATTAGGAATAATCCCCTCTCCAAGGATTATTTGGGTGTCTGTGATAAGTAAATGCTCCCAACTGTCTCAACCCTCTGCTCCAGAGTGGGAGCAGCTGTGCAGGGCAGAACTGTTTCTTAGTCTTGTATTCCCCATGTCAACGTTCAAAATAGTGCTTTGCCTATCCTAAAAATGAGAGAAAAAAGAAATAACAACTGACTTAGAGGATCCCCTAGAATGATGTTCTGTACTCAGATGCCTTTCAGCAACATCTGTTAACAAATTAACTGGCCTCTGTCATCATCACTGACTTGCACTGGGCATGGATACTGTCCTGTTACAAAACATGGTATAAGCATGTGTTCAAACACAGAAGTGAAACTTTTTTTTTTTTTTTTCCCTTCCTCTTGCTGGGATTCTAGTAAAACGAAAGTTACACTAAGTCTCCACCTCCCTCCCTCTCAGAAGAAGAATGGCTTTAGATATCAACTCATGGGAGCAGATCTTTCAAGACCTGATCCAACAGGTGGAACCCTGGGCTAGATGGACCCTGAAGCTGGATGAGACACTTCAGCCAGACTGTATGAGCCCTGGGTGGAAGCAATACCAGCAGAAAGCCTTTGGCAGGTGAGTGAGCGCGTTGTAAGCCATAAGCCTTCTTCTGGAGCCAAGAGGCTCAGCTTACCAACCCTATAAATTTCCATCAAGTCGACTGTCACTCACGGTGATCCCATGTGTGTCAGAGTAGAACTGTTCTAAACAGGGTTCTCAGTGACTGAGCTTTAGGAACTAATTCACCAGGTCTTTCTTCCTGGGAGCTCTAGTCTTTCAGTTAGTTGTTATTGTTAAATGCTATCAAATCGGTTCTAATTCATAGCAACCCTGTATAGGGTTTCTGAGCAGTGGCTGGTGGGTTCGAACTGCCAACCTTGCAGTTAGCTTATGATTAGTCATCCAGTGGCTCTCCTACAGCACTACACCATCACTCTTTCAGTTACTAGCCAAGCGTATTAACCATTTGCACCATGCAAGGATTGTTTGGAGAGCTTATTAAATGAATAAATGATGCTAGGCTTTCCTTTCTTCTGTGGTCACAATGCTCTGTAGGTTCTAATTGAGGATACTTGCACCCCCACCCCCATCTTGTTTGTTTAATTAGGTTGCCCTCTCTAAGTCTTTCTAGGAATCCCTGAGCAATGCCTCTATGCTGTGCCAGACTCTTCTCTCTGTGTCTCATTTGATCCCTACCACCTCTCAAGTCTTCTGCAGTCTCTCCCCTATCAAGCCGGCCTCATCTCTCCAAGCTGTAGCAGCTCTCCCAGCCCTGTTCAGGCCATCTGTGGGACTGAGTCCTTCTTGTAATGACCCAGGAATTCACTAAGACCAAGCAATCTTGTTGAATATAGTTTGTACTGATGGCCTGGGGATAACAGGATATTGAGCTCAGTAACACCAGAGGGTCTTCTCTAAGCTGCGATTCACAAGAGGAAAAATGTTCAGGGATTATATTATCAGCATGCTGTTGTGTGCTGTCAAATCAGTTCTGACTCATAGTGACCCTGTATAGGGTTTTTGAAAGCAGCTGGTGGGTTTGAAATACCAATTTTACAGTGATCAGTCCAGTGTTTATCCTACAGTCCCATGCCAGGACACTATTATCAACATATTGTTGTTGCTATTAAGTGCCATCAAGTCTTCATTAGGTCCGAGTCATAGCCACCCTGTGTAAAGTTTTTGAGGAGTGACTAGTGGGTTTGAACCACCAGTCTTTTTGTTAGTAGTCCAGTGCTTATCCTACAGCATGAAACCAGGACCCCACAGACTTGTTTTAAAGACAAAATGGGAAAACATTGCTGCAAAGTACCAATTACACTGTCTGCCTCAAAGCAGATACTTTTTGAGAGTTTGCTGTGATTCTTATGAGGATCATATCTCATTGGCACAAGGAAGAGACACTTCCCCTGTGAGGTATCTAGAGATTTTTCACTAACAAACAGACTCATTTGAAGATGGCTTATGGGTAAGAATCTTAGTGGGGCACAAAAGCTTTATCAGAAACACAATTCTTTCTCACTTCTATTTGTCAATGACTGGAACATTCCAAATCACAGAATCAAGAACTTTTCCAAACTGACAGAGATCTTAGAGACTCAGGCCAGGCCCATTTCCCTTATGTTCAGCAATCAAGAGAGGACACAATTGTTTCTTCCTTCTGTCTACAGGTTCCAGTGTTCCTCATGCCAGCGAAGATGGGCTTCTGCCAAAGTGCAGGTTCTCTGTCAAATGTACTGGGAGCACTGGAGATCCCAGGGACAGGTGCTAATGCGGTTCTTTGCTCAGAGATGTAAGAAGTGTCATGGGTCCCAATTTGAGAAGCCTGAGTTCTCTTCTGAGAGCACCATGATGATTCTGAACAACCTGGTGCAGCGTATTCTGGAGAGATTCTATAGCGTGGATATGAGGACAGCTCCACCGATACCAGTGACTGCAGAAGTGCCATTGCAAGGGCCCCATGACACAACCAATTGTGAGGCATGTCTTCTGGGTTTCTGTACATGGGACTTACAAAACCTCGTGGCACAACCACCCACAACCTCACTCTCCTATGTGGATATTGGGAGATACTCTCCATCTCTTGGTGATGGGTTTGTCCAAACTCCAGCCAGGAACCAGTCAGCTAACGTAAGAGCTTACACAGATAGGACAGGCCCAATAGCTACAAGCTCTTCATCTGGAAGGCTCTCTCCAGATAGCACTTTCTTGCCACCATCAGAGAACTGGCCAACATTGCGGTTCATGTATGTTATAGGTGTGCTTGTTGCTCTGTCTGCAGTTATTGCTACCAGATCATGTATGAGCAAAGAATAATGAAATCAGACTTTTATGCATCTCTTCTTTTGTTTTAATTTGATGATTATGAGAAAGCAATTAACTGGCTGCTATTTTCACATGACAGAGTATTTGCTTTGAGATTAAGTACGTTAAGGTCAAATTTTAGAATAAGAACTGATTTCCTGGATTTTTTTGTAGACTAGTCTAATACATGACCCCATATATAATGTTGCTGTTGTTGTTAAGTGCTGTTGAGTCATCTCTGACCCATAATAACCCTGTATAGGACTTCCAAGGAGCAGTTGGTGAGCTTGAACCACCAACCTTGAAGTTCAAACAGCTTTGCAGTCTGGCACATGAACCCACAGCATCACACCAGAACTCCTTTCAATATATATATATATATATATATATATGGAGCCTCAATAAATATTCAATGAATTACTACAAGATCATTCATTCATTCAATCAATCATTCATTAGGACATATCTTGACAAGAATTGAGGGTCATCGGTATTACTTGAAAGTTATTCTAATAAACTATAGTGACCTCTACAGATGCCCATGTCCTAATCCCCAGAACCTGTGCATATGTTACTTTCCATGGAAAAATGGACTTTGCAAATATGATCATTAATTTAAGACTCTTGGAATGTGAAATTATCCTGGATTATTCAAGTGGGCTCAATATGATCATTAAAGTCTTCAGAAGAGGGCAGAGAGAGCCAAAGTCAGAAAAAAGGAGATTTGATGATGGAACCAGGGACCAGAGTGATGTGCTTTGAATACAGAGGAAGAGACTATGAAGCAAGGAGTGCAGATAACTTCTGCAAGTTGGAAAAGACAAGGAGACAGATTCCCCCTTGATCTCCATAAGATTTCAGTTCTAGTTTAGCTCAGTGAAATTGATTTTGGACTTCTGATCTCCAGAAATCAAAAATAATAAATTTATATTGTTTTAAGGAAATGAGTTTGTATTAATTTGTTACAGCAGGTATAGTAAACTAATACAGTTACCAATATCGCAGCAGTGATTAAGCAATTATGATTTATAGTTTTGACAGAAAAAAAATAATTTTATTTGCTAACTTTTATTCTGAATTGGGTGAAGGTTTACAGACAAGTCAGCAAGCCTCCTGCCCACAGGCACAAAACTTTTCTCAGTCCATGAGACTACAGCAAGCAGCTGCTATTGTTACTCCATGCCACTGCCTCTTCCACTGTCTCTGCTGCACCACTTTTCTAAGTAGGAATCTCACATTGTCCTCATGCTCTCTTTACTTGATGGTGCTGGGATCATCTGTTCCTGAAATAAAAGATTAACTACTCTCCCCTGTTAGTTACACATCTTTTACAATTACAGTTGTGACAAGCACAATTAATCCTGCTAGCAATTGTTGTTGTTGTTAAGTGCCGTCAAGTCAGTTCCAACCCATAGAGACCCTGTACAGGGCTTCTGAGGCTGTAAATCTTTATGGGAGCAGAAAGCTTCATCTTTCTCCTGTGGAGTGGCTGGTAGTTTCAAACTGCTGACCTTGCGGTTCACAGCCTGATTTGTAACTGCTATGCTACCAGAGCTCCTCTGCTAGCAATTACTTACAATTAAATCATAAAATCCTATCACCATCCTTCCCCATCCCTTTTCCCCAGATCTATCTTAGAAAAAAGAGAAACTTTTCAGTGGGAATTCTACCTTACTCCCCTCATTCTGAAACTAAGCACAGTCTTGAAAAATTGTAAGCCAGCCACTTCATGCCTTTATAGTCCCTCCACCCCAGTTTTTGATTGTCAATGTCTAAATTTCTTGTCCCTATCAACCTGGGGACAAGAAGGGACAAGAACAAGCAAGGAAGCTTGAGGAAACAAGCTTGTTACTTGATATGAAGAATCCTTACATTCCATTTGGAATTGAGTCATTGCATTCATAAGAAAAGTCTAGTTCATCAATCTGTGGCAATCTGTACTTGTTCACAGTATCAAATATCACTATCTTCCTCAGGTTGAATTCTGGTCAACTAGCCATCCAAACTATGTCAAATGGGTACTAGCTGCAAGTTTGGGAGTTCATGTACACTTCCCTGCCTTCAGATCAGCTGGCTACTTCACTCTTAGCCCCAGCCCCCAAGGGCTAGGTCAGTACTTACAGGCTCAGGAATTCACACATATTCCTAAACTTCGGACCAGCCAGCCCTTCCTCTTCACTTGCTCACCTCAAGGATAATGGGTGCCAATAGAACATGGTCAAATCAGCCCATATCTTCATTGCTGTATTTCCCAGGGGGTAACCAGAAGGCATACTACACTGCTCCCAAGTTTACATTGTGTTTTATTTAAAGAAGGGGTTCTACCTTGATGGGATGACTTTTCTGCCTTGATGCCTCCAAAATAAACAGCTTGCTTGAAATTCAAACAGCCAAACAGTCCACTTATTTTCTGCAGGTCTTTCTTTCAATAAAAATCTTCTGTTCTCCCAACAGTTTTGGATTGATCTGTAAATCTTTTCAAGTGGGAATGTCCCAATTCAGAAGGTTCTGAGTGGAGCACCTAAGGTCTCATACTCTACAAAGGCTTACCAAGAAACCTATTTCCCTAGGCAAATTTTAAGTCTCCTTTTAGCAAATCGAATCAGTTTTAGGTTGAAGGCCAGCTTACAAGCTATCTGTCATGACAATTTCCAATACTCATTTCTGTCACACATGAATGTCTATTTTATAAGAGGTGGAAGGTCAGAGAAAAAAAGGAAGAACCCCAGTGATATGGATTGGTAAAGTGGCAGCATCAATAGGCTCAAGCATGGCAACAATTGTAAAGTTGGCCCGGGACTGGGCAGTGTTTGTTCTGTTGTGCATAAGGTCACTATGAGTCGGTACTGACTTGATGGCACCTAACAACAACAGCAACAAGAGGCAGGGGAAACCAATATCCACAAGATAGTCAAACACAAACATTTTTCCCTTCCTTACCCATTCAGCCTATGTCTTGATCTATATATCTACTCACAGGACAATGTTGTTCAAAAGTTGTGTATAAATCGCTATTTACGTCTATCCTATTTCACTTATGCATGCCTAAATCTTCCCCTATCTTCATTGTTCATCTACCACCCTCCCCCTTCTTGTGTATTGCTCTCCTCCCCTGCCACCCATAATAACATGTGTCTACCCTCTAGCCAGTGAATTAGTCTCCCTTCTCCCACCTCTGATAATCATCAAAGAACTTTTTTTAAGTATGGACATCTTTTCATAAACTTTTACAATAATGGTCCCATACATTATTTGTCCTTTTGCAATTGACTAATTTCACTCAGCATAATGTCCTTGAGGTTCATCCATGCTATGCGTTTTGCAGATTCATTGTTATTCTTCAAGGTTACATAGTATTCCACTGTGTGTATGGACCAGTTTGTTTATCCATTCATCCATTGATGAGTGCTTAGACTGTCTCCATCTTTCTGCCATTGTGAATAGCTCTAAGATGAACATTTGTGTGCATGTATCTACTCATTTCTTGGCTATTGTTTCTTGTGGATATATACCAAGTAGAGGGATTGCTGGGTCATAAGGTATTTCTATTTCCAACTTTCTGAGGAAGTGCCATACCATTTTCCAGAGTGGTTGAACCATTTTGCAGCCCTACTAGCAATGTAAGAGGGTCTCAGCCTCTCCACACCCTCACCAGCATTTGTTGTTTTCTGTTTTGTTTTGTTTTAATTTCTCTGTTAATGATGGTATAAGATGATATCTCATTGTTGATTTGCATCTCCTTAATGACTAATGATCATGAACATTTATTCACATATTTGTTGGCTGTCTAGATGTCTTCTTCCTAATTGGGTTGCTTCTCCTTTTCTTTATAGGTATTGTAGTTTTCTATTAATGTTAAACATTAGTTCTTTGACTTACATGCCATTGCAAAAAAAAAAAAATTTCCCAGGCTGTGGGCTCCCTTTTCACTCTTTTGGTGAAATCTTTTGATGCATATAAAAATTTAATTTTAAGGATGACACAGTCATCTATTTTGTCTTTTACTGCTTGTTCATTTTTTATAGTGTTTAATAGTATATGTATGCCATATTTTAGAGCCCCTAAATCTAAGTTTGTCCCTAATTTTTCATTGATGAGCTTTATAGTTCTAGGTTTTACATTTAGGTCTTTATTCCATGTTGAGTTTGTTTTGATATATGGTGAGAGATATGGGTCTTGTTTCATTCTTCTGCAATAAGATTTCCAGTTTTGCCAGCACTATTTGTTGAAGAGGCTATCTCATCCCCATGTGTTTTGACCCTTTGTCAAGGATCTGTTTACTGTATGTAGATTGATTTATCTCTTGGTTCTCAATTCTGTTCCATAGATCCATGTATCTTTCCTTGTACCAGTACCAGGCTGAGCACGGTGGCTGTGTAGTAATTCTTGAAATCAGGGAGTGAGAGGCCTCCTACTTTGTTCTTCTTCTTAAGCAGTGCTTTGGTTATTTGAAGTTTCTTTCCTCTCCATATACAGTTCATGATCATTTTTTTTCCATCTCTTTAAAGACTGATATTGGGATATGGATTGGATTGGTTTATATCTGTATATTGCATTTGGTAGTACTGACATTTCACAATGTTAGGTCTTCATATCCAAGAACATGATATATTCTTCCATTTTTGTAAATCCCTTTTGGTTTCTTATAGTAGTATTTTGTGGTTTTCTTTATATAGGTCTTTTGTTTCCCTAGTTAGATTTGTTCCTAAGTATTTCATCTGTTGGGTGGCTATTGTAAATAGTCTAGGTTTCCTAATTTCCTTTTCAGAGTTGTCTTTTTAGTATAGAAGAATCCAACTGATGTTTGTATATTGATCTTATAACCTGTCACATTACTGAATCCTTCAATGAGTTCCAATAATTTTTTCCTGAGACTTCAGGATTTTGTATATAAGATAATATCATCTGCAAATAGAGAACATTTTACTTCTTTGCTGATTTGGATGTCGTTATTTTTCACATCTTGCCTTATAGCCCTGGATAAGATTTCCAATACAATATTGAATAGGAAT